TCAGACGACATGCCCACGTTTGGTCGTCTCTCTCCGCTGGCCATTACTCTCATCAAACCAACACTAACCCATCATCCATCCATCGACGACCGTTGTACGAACAGTAGGTATTTCCACTTTGTTAGTACACACACCATCATAACATATCTATATAGTGTACTGGCGATAACAGTTTTTGAAAATATTTTGTATCTGCTTTTAACTTGTACTACCTACCTGTTTGGTTATTATCTTAGGTATAAGTTATATTGTATCACATTATCCATGCGGATTCAATATATGCATACATGCGACTTCACATATATGTGTATATATACAAGAAAATATAAAATAATTTTTACATGAAAAACATTTTTGTAGATTATTAAACATGTTCGCAATGACATATTTAATAATAATAGCACAATTTTATATTTATTTTAAGGAATATCTACACTATAGTTTATACTTCCTACTATATTATTAATTATCATTATATTGTATTATGATAAATGGTATATACGCTCTGCATAATATTTTAAGCTAAAATGTATCTTCGATTCCTCACCGAATAGCATTCTAAGATTTAATACTAAAATGAACCTATAGTTGGTATATAATATTAAATATATGTTCATATATTAACGGTCTTTATGTGACAAATATGTAATGGAATAGACAGACTTGAAAAGAATAAACAAAATTACCATAAAGTACAAAAGTAACGGTTCGGCGAAATGTCCAATGCATTGCACTAATGACTGTAGGTAAAAAATGGTTTCAGGTGTATACTTAAATATATTTTTTAACATAATAATGAAGATTATGAAAACCCCAATGAAGTCTATTTGCATAACTGATTTTTGTTTTGTTTTTAGTTCTGGACAAGATGTTTAGTTCATTAGATGTTTTCCTATATATAGTACATTATATTATAAATTATAATATTATTACTGTAGTATAATATACATCTTTACATCGCTATACAGTATACATCTTTAAATGCTGTTGCCTACACGAAATTAAATGTCTACGATTAGTGGAGTAAAATTTTATTTTCCGCTATCAATTGCTTCTGTCAATGCTCGACAATAGAAGAGGAGTTAAAACACGCATTGGTTAGCATATAAATCATTGATCCTGGGAGTTGGGACCATTGTACTGGTCTCTCTATAAAAATAACATTATCTCGTAATGTTTATTTAAGACTGTCAAAACATAAATATTACTCACGATTGGCAACGGACAATAGAAATTACCTGTAGAAACGATTGTTTATATAAAGGGACCAGGAAATATACTGCAGCAGTTGTACCAAGTATTCATTTCGGGATTATTTATTGAATACGGATAACGGTATATAAATGGGGGACACTAAGGGATATCATGGGAAATTGTAAACGAAAACTATACTTGGTATAACTTTTACTTTCATATTATTACTATTGCATTTGCAATGCATGATAATATTACTATAATATTGTGAATACCAAACATTGAAATATACCTCACTGCCTCACTGCCAAGTAAGCCAACAGACTATGAACGCAACTATTGGCTATATTATATTTTCAAGAACTGAAAACCCAGTTTGTATTATGCAATCAAGTTATCTTTAATTAATGTAATATTATTGAGTTTGATTATTTTTTAATTCATATTATTGTCTTATTTTTAATTAAACATATAAGAAAAAACAGAAATAATACCAATAATTATTTTATTTATTACCTATAATTATCCTAATGATTCGAAAGTGTTGAAAGAGTCTCCTGGCTCCTAAATACACTGATCTATCAATGTTTTATTGTCTTAATTAATTACTTCATACAAATATAAAATCTAGGCTAAATCATAAATTATAATGGAATTATTTGTTAAGACAAGTAAAATAATATAGCTTATATAAACCAACAAACTTAACTTTAAAATGTTTATGTGTAACTGATAAATAATTTCCAGTAAAACAAAAATGACTAAGATTTGTTTACTACAATATTAATTTATTTTAGTTATTATACTCAATGAATGTTGAAAATATAAGATAAGAACAATGATTAAATTGAGATTTTATAATTACATTATTAATCGAACGAATTTAAATCATGAAATCTAAAAATTGTTTACTTCATTTGTCTGACATTAAATTTTGATTAAATCATTCAAATTATATACCTATATGTTATATACACATTACTATATATATATAAATATATAGTAATAAAATATTCATGATCTAAATAATCACAACTTCGATATTTGTCTAAATTAAAAACTATTGTAATTTGTAGTGGGTATGTACTGATATGGATGAATGGTTATTACTTATTACAGTTTGTGAATTAAAATGAATTTAAAACATTATTTTAAGAATAATATATAACTACGTACTTAATTGTAATTTCAATTTTTAGTCATTGATTTAGATATTAAGAGTAAAATATTTAAAAATCATAATTATACGACGTATGTTGATAATTTAAAAATGTACCAAAGGTGTCTCAAATAGGTTATAAAAATGTCCATATGGCTATAGAAATGTAAACGTATAAAAAAAGAATTATATACACGGAACAACAATCATGTTTGTGTCATTTATCACCGGGAAATATGAGAAAACGTAGTATATATAAGGTAGTAGGTACAAATTAAATCGTTCAATTTTCCAATCGATTTCATGCGTTTATTGGTATACAAAGAATTAGTTACAGGGAACAAGGGTAAAAAATGAATGAATAGTTTTGAAAAATAAGAATAATTGTACTAACGTGTAACGAAAAACCGATGTCTCATTATATAATGTTATTACGGATGGCTTAATCATTTGTCATCTTACACCACCGGTTGAAACTCCCATCAACAACGATTATAAATTTGTATTATAATCGCGTAAAAGAATTATCTCTCTATCGATTATTTTGAACGCCGTGCGTGACACTGATAAATACACGATGAATCGTTACGAATATTATTTTCAAAACCAGATGTTGGTTAGTACGACTATTCTTGATGGAAAAACAAAATACGATTTCGGACGAAAAACTGTAAACGAATAGACTTGGCAATTCTGCAATAGAGCTAACATAAGAGACATATCGTACAATTTAAATTTATCGTATGGGTCTACCTACAAACGCGCGTTTGATAACACGTTCAAATAATAACAAAAAAAATATTGTAAATCTGTTATCAACATTTCTTATGCATTCCGTGTTAGGAATGCACTGTGTTGTAAAATGTTAATGCATCATATGGTACCACAATATTAAACCATAATTATACGCAATAGACGTGTGCCTATGGACTATGGTATAATAGTTTTCGACGCGTCGTCGTCAACGTCTATTGGACGGAATTTTCAAGTATAAGTACATACCTAGTATGATGATATTGTGTAATTGTTTGAAAACAACGCCGCCTATAATATGCGATAGGGATCTCCGATGTGCACACATTTCGTACAAATAAATAATAATAACAATAAGAAAAGAAAAAACCGTTGCTTCAAAACGGGGCGTTTCGGTTTGGAAAATCGTTTTTAACCATCCGTCATTACAGGTGTTTGTTTTCTATTAATTTCATTACGTGACCAGTGTTCCGATGGTATAATATTATCTTATGCGTGCGTATAATATGTATTATAATATTATATACACAATAGATTATAATATAAATATACGCTCGCGCCCGCCCGCGCCCGAATGATCCCATCGCGTTTTCGACATAATTATTCTATTGGTTGAACCAGAACCGGCAGAAACTGAAATGCATATTAAATGTAATAGCAATATTACTATCATCGGATGGGTTTTATTTTTATTTCTTGTAGTAAGCTGTTTGCCGGGTGAAAATAATATGAATCTCACGATCCTGGTCCCGTGTTCGCGTATGTATAGGTAGGTAACCTAATGAATAAACTCAAACTGCAAAGAATAATAATTATCGAAAGCTATATAGGTATAATACATATACTCCCGTTCTTAATCAATTAAGTCTCGACTGAAACTCGTCTTCCATATTGAATAATCAAAGCCATACATTAATAATATTATAAATCATTGCTTTAACGATGAAAATTAACAAAATTAATAAAAAAAAAAAATATGTAAATATCTACGTATTTACTTATATTATATACATATTTAATTTAAATCGAAATGTAATAAATAAATAATTTACAAGCTGTGTCAAGATTGGTTTGACGTTTGAAAACCCTAAGGATCGTTCCAGTTAAATTTCAAATTTACATGCTTTCATTATAGGTGCCTATATATTATTTAGTAACAAAGTAAATTTATTCTACTGTTTTTAATAAATTAAATAATTAAGTCATCCATGATTACCGATAAGTGTCTATTTTAAACTTATAAAAAGTGTGATTATTTGATATTATTATTACATTATTTGTGAAATTTAAAAAAAAAATAGAGAATTAATTATAATACGTATTAGATACCCATGTAACGTTTAATGATGTACCTATATTTTATAATAACTGTTTAAAAATAAATTATACTTCATGAAACCCATCATAATTAATTTAAATATAATATTAACTTGTAACCATTAATACGATTACAAATAAAAATCATTTCAACATGATTAACATATGTCATGGTTAAGCAATTAAGTATACTAACTAAAACTTACCGGGTTATTTTCAGCTAAATTGTTTTAGTGGATGACTTAATAAAACGGATCCAGATGAAACCATATTGTAGACGATTATGGAACGATGATATAAGCGAATCGTGTTTTTATATAGCGTTAGACGCCTACAGGAGATTTTCTGACAAAATGAAATTCCGGTCGTTTTGAATAAAGCGCAAATATTTCCATAATAAACGATAGAGAAGGAAAAAAAATCACGAAATTCCATATTATTATGATTGTGTTTGTAATTTTTTATTAAAAAGCTCAATTCTTTTATATATTTTATATTATTATATAATATTATAATATGCAGTTATTTTCAAAAGAAGACTTAGCATAACATTTAAACTAAAAAAAACTATACATACCTCTCGGGCCAACACAGTGATTCATCTCTGTACCTGAAATAAGTATAATAATTAATATTATTGACGAGTATTAATAGTGTAATTGTAGCACTTATACTTAATATTATATTTTGGTCAGTGTAATATTTTTAACATAATTAATTAAATGTCCACGTTATAAAATATGAAAACAATTTTTATACAATTTTTTGAAGAAAATTGTATATATCTACATGTTAAATTGAATTAGACATATTTCAAACTAATTAAATTTAATATTTTCATTAATGATCACTGATTAAATTTAACGAATTATTGTTTGTATCGAGATGTAATAATAATTTTGAAATTAAAAAAAAAAGTACCTACACAATTAAAACCAAGATAGGATTAATATGCATTCAAAAGTAATTAGTGTCTACGTTTAAAAAAAAGTACCGTGTAGGTATATTAATTAAATATTGTGTAATACTATTTTCGTACGTTCGATCAACAAACCGGTTCCATTTTTCAATAACTAATATTTTAATAATAATAAAAAAAAAAAAAAAATGTAAATCTCCGTAATGAGTTTATTCTTTCCAGTGATTCATTTTGACTGACTTAAATAATATAGTGAAAACTTTATTGAACAAGACTGCGGTCAGATTAAATTGTTTCACACGGTTGGACAGTATGGATAGAATTCTTTTATATTTTAGTAATGAACTATATCCAACACAATCAAATCTTAACTATCCTCTCGAATGTATCACAAACTGTTTTCACCGTGTTTTTGTTCCATGTTGTACATAGTAATATCATGTTGAGAAATTTGTCAGAATGGCTGATGTTGTCACAATATCAGTCAGTATATTGTTCATGTGTATATGGGTAGTAGGTATACTATACGATTTTTAACACCATAATATATATATATCTACGTGTATTGTTCTCTTTACTATATAGCACTGGATAAGTAACGAGATTTTAAAACCAAAAGAAATATTGCAAACATTTATACTGTATAGGTAGGTGCATTTCAATAGGGATGAAATTGAAATTGTAATTCACTTTTAGCCCATTCTCTTGTGCACACATGTAATGTATGGAAAAAATCGCAGATACTTTAAAACACTTGCCACCGCTGTAAACACATGTCGCCGAGAAAATACTGAGTATAATATTTCCTATCTGTTTATGTGCATACATTGTGGGGTGGGTTATAGGCGATATTACACACCCTGGTGTACACACATGCAGTGCGTTATCTCTCGAAAATCTCACGGGTGTCCAAACCAACGATTTATTTTTATTGCTCATCGATTACAATCTGCCGGCACCAACCGTAACAGGTTGCGCGATAACTCATATGATACCTACCTACACGATATTATTATATACCTACCTACTATCGATGTTAATCTCCACAACATCTTAATTCTTAATATTATTGTTGTTATACCCGAAACATGTGTCAAACGGGACTTATACGGTAGGGTGAGGAAAATTTGACACAACTTTGGAAATTAATTAGTAACATACCCGAGTCCACCACGTGTGCGTTATGGACCTTAACGATTGTTTTAATCGTTGTTTGAATGTCAGAGGGAGTTATTCCCCGTCGCTATTGCAACCACAAACGCTACGTATGTATTGAATGCAATAATCAAAAAAATGGACACATGCTTTACACGAGGGACATATTATACCATATTATTATATTCGAAGTAAACCACAACAGTAAAGAAGTTTGTTGACATTTAAAATTTAAATGTTTGGCTAATCATAGAATTCGAAAATCACTATTCTATATAATGTTTTAATTTAAAAATAAATGTAATTAGTTAAATTGATTTGTATTAAATATATAATTATAAATTCAATCTTCAAATAATATTGCTATCAATATTGAACGAATAAAATAAAAATATGTCACAAACTTAAATCAAAGATGATATAATAGGAAAATAATTTATTCTACACATTATAAAGTCACAAGACAAAATTCATTATGACACAAAAAAATAATATCCGTTCAGATTCAACGATATTCTTCCTGTTGACCGTTCCAAGGTAATATTTAGGCATTTTTAAATCATGTGTAGTGGCATATATTTTGTTTGTATACAATTTAAAAGTCTTAGTTCAAGTTGTAATTTTAGTATTTTTCAAGTGATTACATTTGAATAGGTTATAGGTCAAACAAACACTAATCTTAAACATTATAACGCGACCTTAAAGTTGATAATAATACTATACATGCACGTCAAAACTGCAGAGTGCATACTTTCCAACAGGACTAGTTAGTCATCACAGTGTTCACTGTTCATGTACTTATACAATTTATGTTTGACAAAATAAACTATTTCAGACCATCGTCGATAAACTCGAAATTTCCTTAAACTTTTACAACTATTTTCTCATCAAGTTAATTACCTGAGGGACTAATGTTGTATTATAGTGGTATATACGCCTAATAAGGTTTTATAACTTTTCCAATAGCGGACAAAGATATCGGCGGTGTGCATGTATAAAATCGGTAGGTACCACAGTTTACTCTCAATTCCTTAGAGGCTCTTCGACGAGTGTAAAAAAAACCCTCAAGTCATTTTTTTTCAGCTTTAAAAATTAATCCCATTAAAGTGAAGACTTCGTTCTTATTGCATGATGGGGTAAGTAGAGTGACGTCTTTGCTGAGCAGCCTGCGGTGTATATAATATATTCATGCGGTTTTCTCTTTCATAAGCACCTCTGATATTTTCGAAATATGCACTCCGCCGTCGCCCCCGGAGTGATTTGCATTACAGAAGAAAAACAATCTCAAGTAAATCCGATATGAGGGGTGTTAGATGAGCACACTGTTACTACCAACGAGTTTTAAAGCTCCAGCAAAGTGCAATTTCAGTGGAACAAGACAAAGCTACACATGTTTTGAATTTTCTTTGATTTATGGATATAATATTATTTGTATGTAAAATATAAGGTGACACAAGAGTTATGTATATAGTTTACTCACAAATACATAAATAATATTATAAAAGATTGTGACGTATCAATAATAAAATGCATCATTTAAAGTTAAACGATAAGCATAATTATAAATAATATTGTGATGAACCTAGCTCACGCCATAATAATTATCTAAATGTATCATTGTATACAGTGCATATACCATAATATACATATATTACAATATATTAATCAAACACATTTAAGATTGGAATATTTTTTATCAGTACCTACTAGATTTTTAAGTTTACAAATTTTCTAAAATTATATTTTAAATTGTATAGATAGGTATGGTAAAAGATCATTTAATGCAATCTAATTTTACAAAATATATAATCAAAACATTTCTATATCAGAAATATCAATAAAATATACTTATTTAAATAATTCAATGTAGGTACCTAATATTTTAAGCATTTAAATTTGTATTTTTTTTTTGTATGAAACTTTTCCTATTATTAGTTTACATGATTTTCGAACTATATTTAGCAGAGGTTAAGACAAATGTAAAAATAAAAGTAGAATTATTTTTTTTACATTCTAATTTTATGCTTAATAGTATCTAAAATTACCTTGCCTCGAGTAAATTTAAAACTAACTAAATACGTGAATTATTTGATTTATTGGAATAAAATATAAATCACGATGAAATAACAATACATATTTTGACTCTACCCGACCACCTGTTTTGCCGTTTATTTATGAATATTATAAATACATTTACAGTATACACTACACACTACACATTTATATTATTTTGTGTACAATAGAATCGGAGAAAAAGAAATGAAAAAATACTTGATAATGTGTATCATGCGTGTATGGCTGTAGAATATTATAATGACAGCGATGTGTACGCGGCGTTTTGGTAGAGGTGGGTCCGAACACCTTCGTCGAAAACCACTGCAGCGTCCAGCAGTCTGAGGCCAAAAATATGAAAGGAACAAAATGTAATTATCGGTTGTGGAGGACCGCAAATTACCCAGGACAGACGTAAAAGTACTCACACATCGCACAATGGTGTAAATAATTATTACCGTACGTACAATCCGAATTTCCCACCTCTAGAATCGTGGATTATTGTAATCATTCGGACGAAGTCATTGTTTTTTTTTTTGTTTTCATTTTTTTTCTTCCCTCCCCATCCCGACATACGTGACGGTTCCCTTCATTACTCGTCGTGACCGATACGCAGGTGTACGATACGGAATTACCGATGTACGTTTTGGAGATAATAAATGCTCTTCTGTAGTATTATAGGTACTGCATGTATAGGTGTATATGTGTATATAATATGCGCATATGTTTATAGGATCGAACCGAATAATAGATGTGTGTGCCGTTAAAACAGTTTTCTAACATGCTCCTACCATAGGTACATTATATTAATCATTACATTATATGTATTTGCCCATTAAATATAAACTCTATTTCGTTTTCACGGACAAATTTGGTATTTTATTTTTAACTCCGGGTTGAATTTAGTTGTGTAACTATATTTATTAAAATATATTCTTGAAATTATTTGCCATCTAATGATAGAGTAACGTTAAAATATTTTATATACATTATTTATTATGGTACTTCTTAGCTGTATGTAAAACAAATGTATAATTTATAATTTGAAATTTATTGAAAATATTTAACTATGACCTTAGATGATATATATTTTTCTATTTAGGAACACATAAAAAGGTCAATTTTCGTGAGAATAGTATTCGTAGAGTCGAATATTTCTTTGATATTATGTTCTTATGATTTTTGACCTAGAAGTTAGAACTATATATAGAGATTTATTGTATAAATGAAGGTATAATATATTATACTATATAAGTAGGTATACACTTTAAACAGTAATAAGTATTTAACATGAAAACCAATATTTGTCTGGATGTATCAGTCACAGAAAAATAAGTTTTAGAATATTATCCTATCAAAAGTAAAAAATACAAACAATAAATGATAGGTAAAAACTTTATTATTCGCACAAGTCGATTAAACTGAAATTGTGCCCTAAACTGCTAAATATATTAAAAAAAATTATAATTTTATAAGTGTTACAA